GGAGAGAACATGAACAAACAGATTGACTCAAGTAAGACATACTTTGCTGAACAGTTCCTGCTTCCTTTCCTTTTGTCCTGGATGCTGGGATATTTACTACTGTTTCAGCAAGCCACCGGAAGAACAACATGCCTCACACTGGCCTGCCAGTCCTTTGTAACTCAGCCTGGATTTCACAGCACTGTTTATGAGAATCTCCGTGGTTATATTGAAATATCGGTATGCTGTGATGCCTACCTTTGACGATATTGAATGTGATATAGCTGTAGAGAAGTATTTGCTAGCCTTATGTGAGGATTTCAAGCTTATTTAAATTATGTAGACAAATCAAAGTGGCATTGCTTAATTTTTAGCAGATATAATAAGCAGTTTAACAGTAAAAATGCAAATATGACAAGTCACTTTGAAAATTCAAACCAAAGTTCCTTGACTTTTTAGAAATAGGACATTATGGACTTGAAAATTGGGCATTCCCTGTTTACATGTAAAATGTTCAGAGCTGAGATCATAGTAAAAAAAATGAAAACAGAAAAGACAGAAACACTTGAGAACTGTGGACCTTATGGGTGCAGTTTTAAATGTTTCAACATCTTACTAGACTGGACTACTAAGAGCACATACCGAACCTATCTTATGATTAAAAGTTGGGGTTTATTTTTTATGAGAATATTGTCACTATTCATAACATACTCAGGACAAATAACTTTGCTCAGGGAACATTCTGTATAATGTTGTTATTGTTATTTCTTTACAGACTAGTCTACAGTCCTGCTTACTCAAAATAAGCCAAATAACTTAGACCTTTATGTAAGTACATGTACTTGATGTTAGTAACTACCTCTGAGTTTGACATAGATCAAAATTCTGAATATCAGCTATCAGTTCTATTTTTATTTCTTGTGAAAAGTCCCCTAAAGCAGAATTCCTCAACTCCTTGCAGATGTGAATATCAGTGATACTGTTCATTTACATTGGTGAAATATTCTTCTGTTTACAGCAAAGGGCTACCTCATTGTTGATACATAGCATACCTTTATGCTGCTCTAGCCTTACAGATGACTGATAATTCTCTGGTACAGAAATTTTTTATCTGTATTATAGATAGCAATTCATAACTGCATGTTTCTGACAAACACATTTGAACAATGAAGACCTTCATTTTAATTAGCAAAGCCTCCAAGCATTTCCTTAATCATGTATTTACTTTGAAGAATTATGGGCACTCTTCAGCTCAAGCAAACCAGAACACAAGCAGTCTTGGAAATAGCTGCTTTTCTCAGAGCTGGGATGTCAGGAAAGGATAGTAGGAGGAGAGATTGGGGTGTGAGTGTACAACACTCACCCTGGGCAAGTGGTGTAAAATATGCCACATTCCTTCATTGTCATGTCTCTGCTGCCCTGAAGCCAAAATGCATTGGATTATTTTAGCCCCAGGCAGGTAACTAGCACTGGCATGTCAAGGAGGGAATTTAAAGTGTGATGCCACTCCTAGCTACTGAGGGGAAGGGTCTGTGGGAAGCAGCAGTTTGCAGGAGTTACTAATGATGGGACAGAGATCTGTGAAGCAAGCTGTCTCTTGAACTCAGCCTCAGGTTAACACAAATGTAATTCCTAAGAAAGGTGCACTGCCAGTCTCTTAGCCCTATAAGCAATTCATTTGCCTCAAGGCAGATTATAGTGGAAACATTTTTATATTTCTAGTCTTTGGATGTATTTTTACAGTTAAAAGAGTTAACAATGGTTTTTACCTGCTTACAATTTGGAAATTTAGTGTGCAATGTAAAGAAAAAGATTAAGAAACATGTTATTTGCGTCAGTCCACCTCCAAATATAAGATATTTTGATTGCCAGTATTTTTTTTTATTCTGGCTCAGTTTTATTTTGCACCAGTGCAGCTCCAAGTTACTGCTGGTTGTATTTAGTTTGTGAATAGGAGCCCATAAGTGTTAATAAACTTTGTAACATTCACTTTAAGATGAATTATACAGAACTTGGGAAATCTCATTAAGTCTTAAAGTTAAATTAATTTATCTGTTTTCCCTAAGAAATGTTTATCAGAAAATATATTTGCGTATTTCCCCTTTGGTTATAAAATTTGGGAAAATATGCATCCGCACTGACTTTAATTTTCTAGATGTCTTAATGACATTTATTTGTTTTAGAAAAGAACAACTTATTGAAAGCATCAAATTTTTTCTGACGTAATTGTCAACAGCCTCTTTAAAACGGGGTTGTGTGATCTGTGTCCTGGTTATTCTGTTTAGAGTATGAGGTTGACCTATGATTCATTGTTAAATTTCATGTTTGGAACGAAGCTGCAAAGTTATGGTAAAGTACTGTACTATGAGAAAGTATTATGATACTTAATACATCTGTGGCTTAACACTTGTGAAAGTTCCCAGCTTGATAATGATGGTGTTGACTACCTCTTTAATCCCATCTATCAACCACTGGCACCTACCACAAGCTGGCTTTATTAGTATGTGTTGCTTCTTTTGGTATTAACACCCCTATCCATCCTAGAGACCAAAGTGAACCCTGATTTCTATGTCTTTAATACAGTGTTTTATCTAGTGTTTTAAAATTATACTGTGTAGTATTTAGATTTAATCTCATTGTCCATTTTGATTCATGTTGTTTACAAGTGAAAATTTTTTTTAAAAACCAGTTGAACTGTCTGTTTTTAAAAGACAAAAAGGAGTTGATGTTTAGAATGGGACTTCACTCATGTTCAGTCACCTCAATGGACTAAAAGTATTGTTTGTCTTTCTGCAGATGTGGGTCTCATTTCATGCCTATTGTCTTATTCTGTTAATTATGGATACTTTGAGGCTTAAAATTTACTTGATTGAAAAATAAACATATAACATTGACATTTATGATGGGTTTTGGAGATTTGTCATGATTTGTATATTTGCTCAATTAAGTAAATGGATAAAAGGGCGTTTAGGCATTATTTACATCAATGTAAGCAGGAGTTAAATGGCTTTGGCATATCCTCAGATAGTGGTAGTTATTAACATTTAACATACTTAGGATAATATAGATAAGAAGGAAAGATGGATCCTCATCTTAAGGAATTCTCCTGTATTACCCAGAAGGGATTACAGATTTTTTTAAATAAAGAATTTGAAAAGGACAAAGCCAGGCTACACCAGTACCAGCTATCTAAAATATGAATGTAGATTGCTCAAACTCTTGATTGCAGTAGTGATGTGCTGTAAAAACAATTTGGTTAAACTGTTGACTTCTATAGATTGGCCAGTCTCATAATTAAAACTTGTTTCCCATCGTATACCTGGATGGTTCACTTAATTCTTCAGTTGGCCTACTATGATTTCTATTTTTTTCTTTCTTTTATTTGTAATTGTGATAAAAACAACATAAGATTTACTTCTTTAGCCATTTAACTGTACACTTTGGTAGTGTTAGGTATATTTATATTCTTGTGCAACAGAGGATGATTCACTTAGATGTGAAGAG